TATGCAAAAGTACTGAAAATAGAATTTGCATAGTTTGCATAACACGTATTGAAATCTAAGGAGCTATCTGCGCATCTCGTTTCCCTGGCACTCCATCGCCCCAGCAGCTGACTCTTCTTACACAAGTTATATCAAATAACACGATTTAGAGAGTTTTTGTGTAAAATAATAGTCTTTTCACTGCCAGTACATTATTTCAAATATTCTGACAACCATATAAGTCTCATGTCTTTAAATCTGTACGTTGCTGTGTTGACATGCTCCATGTACTGTTCAGATTGAAGAGGACAGGCAGAGTTATAGAGGGTGCAGTCCGGAGACTGTCAAACGTTTTAATGACTATATAGATCTCCGGTATTGAAAATTGTAATATTAGTATAATTCGGATTTAAGGTTAAGTAGTTGGGGAGGGGACAATCAGGAGATGTTCATTTTCGTCGGGCGGAGATTTCTAGTCTAGACGTTAATGAACTAGCATGTCTGGGTGTTCGTGGACCAGACTTCACCTTAGATACTAATAAAATCGAAGCGAAATAGAAGCGAACAGTTACAGGTAAAAGATACTTTTTTATATTTCTTCGCACCCTGAAAAGCGAAAATATGTAAATTATATATTCAATATATATAAGTGCAGGTCGTATACGTTTTGGCATATCAACTCTTTGGAAGTGAATGGATATATCCCTCACGTGCGCGTCGGTACCCTAGTACTCCACGTGGCACGCCAATCATTCTCCTGATTGGTCAGGTACTATACACTGCCTTGCACGCCTTGCGTACATATGTACGTGACCGAAACTAACTGAATTACTCGCACCTACTACTCAATATTACATCTTAGTTTGGCATATCCCGTGGGAGCCTCAAACTACCCATACAGCCTCTTCACTTTTTAAACAACGTTTGGAGAGTGCCGCGTAAACATTGTAGGCCGCACTTACATTTTACAGTGAAGATTTTTCTGTTTCATCATAAATATGATTAATTAAATAGAAATTTTTGCAACGAAATAAACTACGTTTTTTGTTGAATTGCACGGGTTTAGGTGCACCCTACGCCTTCACGCGGATGAATATACCGATGTGTAACAAATTCTGCGAAAATGCACGTAGGGGTACTAGACAAGATAGAAAAATCTAGGACAGGGTACTAAGTGGGATACCCCTGTCTGAGGTGCGGGAAATAACGATCTGTTCAGTCCGGAAACTATTGTAACGTAATAAGTAGGGCTTTCATTTTTGGCATTTGCGCTTCTTTTGACAAGATCTTTACAGCGGTACCAAAGTTTTGACCATGTGACCTTGACTGTGACTTTTGACCTACATTTGGGAAAAAAACTGTAACATTGACCATACACTGCCTTACACAGTACAATATACCAATTCAGAATTTTGTTGTCGACGGGGGCATAGGGTTACATAAACAAATTTTGTTTTGTTATGATACAAAGGTAAAATTAATTAAGAAAATAATAACAATTTTAGCTATGCTAAAAGACCGTGACTGAACTACATGTTACAAAGCGTTATTGTTCCGGCTATAATTAAGTTTCTGTTAGAGTTCGTTAGAGATATATTTATCGTTGGAGAGCTCTGTACGAAGGGAGGTAACTCGTGCATTTTGTAATCGCAACATTTGTTAACCAGGAGAACGCCATACAGAAAAAAATACGACGAACGGACGGACAGACAGTCAGGCAATATTAATTCTACTGACAAAAAACTGTAATCATATATCACTTCTCAAACATTGAGTCCTCTTGAATTAAGTCTTGACATTTGTTCTGCGTCATTCTGGTTATGCTGGTTGATGGTTTCTCTCTCTTGTGTTCCTACACTGATATCGTGCAAATAGTCACCAAATTCCTTTGACAATAAGCCGGATTAGGATCCGCCATAAAAGGTTTTAAATAGTAAGTATGGTTATCATGATATTCTAGTTATATACTGTATAGAATAAGGGATTAAATAAAATCAGCCTTGGATAGCGAATAGCCAACAAGAAAATCTTATCAAAAGATTAAAAGGAATCAAACGTAAACGAAAACTTTTCATACAAAAAATAATACTCAATTTGCGATCAGAAATTTAGAAAAAGAAAATATTTATTACGATGTTCACCTAAAGTAATCACTAATTACGTATGAATGTGATATGAATTTTTTGTTATTTTGTACTGCATTGAAGTGAGTTAGACGTGTTTTGTTGGTGATGTATTGGAGGAACCATAATCAAAATGAATTTAGACTGACCCCGCCCCCACCAAATGTCTAATAATAGATCATCCCTTGACACATTGTGGTCATTATACCTTTAATCATACAAATCATAATTGCCCTTCCCCTGCCAAATTTGGTTGAAGAGAGGGAGAAGTTCTCCCTAAGTTCTCATAACGGGACTCATCCTTTGCCCCCTATGAGTCACAATATACCTTCATTTATATAAAGCACGATATTGTCATCCTCAAGGGCTGTTTCAAGCCAACTGGGTGAAATCTGTCCATACATACCAGCAGAAAAAATGTGGTGATAATCCACTCAAGAGTTAAGAAGAAATTGCCTTACAAAGCAAAAAATAATCGTTTTTGGTCCAGCCCTCAAATCCCCAGGGGTTGCACAAACTTCATATCACACGAGTATGAACACCCTTTCCCAGTTATGTTTCAGACAACATTTGATTCAAATCCACGAAGATGTTAAGACAAAGTAGCATGGTCGGATGACGCAGTGGCAACACACTCGCCTATCACCTAGCCGTTAAGGGTTCGATTCCCGGAAAAAAAGGTAAGAGGTCACCTGCCCGCGTGGGTTTTCCCCGGCTACCGTCTAGTGCATTTTAGACTACAATCTGTTTACCATCTTGTCACACTATTTTCCGCCTTATTGTACATAGGTTTATAATACAGTCGAAAAAGTTGGTCGATTTTTTACGATCTCGCAGAATATCTACGCCAACGCTAATACGCTCCACACGTGTCATTCGTCTGATAAGGTGACCGTGTAGTCATCGAAACGTCATATTCTAATCTTCTACTGGTTGTGTTATAAGAGCTTCTATTCTATTGACATTACCAACACGAAGAAAATGTTTCAAAACATTTAAGGAGTATTGTTTTAAAGCAGAATTGAAGAATTTCCTCTTTTGGGCTTCAAACCCAATTCGCAATTGTTTGAATCAACTTCATTTATATGAATTATGAATTCCAAGAGGACGTTGATGTCAAGGCGTGACATCTAAAAGCTATATTACGAATTGGGGCCCTGCTCCAAAGTTGACCAGGATCCAATCAATTTCATTTATAACAAATATTATTGCTTCCCCATGAGATGTTTTAGACCAAATTCAGTTGAAATCCATCCAGGTAAAATGGAGTAGTAGCATTTCAGAGCTAAATTTTAAATTCTTGTTTAAGAGCACCGCCTCCAAGTTCCAAGGGTCCAATTAACTTCAGCAATGTAAAAGTACAGCTTCTCCCTTCAGAGTAAGCCGTTAGAGAAAGTAAAGAAAGTGAAGATAACATTGTCGTACTCATACCATGTAGGAGTTGTCGCCCCTACCTCACTTTCAATCGTTGTTAAATAGTGTAAAAAAAAATTGCTGAAAACTTGTAGATTGTTATCTATCAAAGTCGGACCTTTTGTATGTTAATGTCTCTGTGTTGCTCTTTATCAGCATTTGCTCTTTTTTCTGTCCTTATTAGAATTGCTGTCTTATTAGTATAATTTTTCATTTTTATCTTTATTTCAACAATTATGAAAGAAACTTCGTGTGGTACACGTGGTCTGTATGTGGTGTTCAATCATTGCTCTATCGACCGACCTGGACCGGCATATTTTTTCTAGTTCATTAATATCTCGATAAACTGTTTATACAGGTGAAGCTCAGAAATTACTCCGATATCATACCACAATATGCAGTTTATTTATAGAAATCAGTGAAGTAATTTCGACCTTGACAGATATTTGGTCTACATCTGAGGAATGTTTGGCAGTATACGAAGCCAATCCCACTCATACCCTCAATTACAGTATTTATTTCCCGACACACTCTACAGACGCCGATACTGCGTCATTGTCGACACGTGAAGCCAATATAGACACTTTGTGCTAAAGTGGCTAAAAATAGAAACCAGTTGAAAACTAACAACTGAACACGATCCTTGGACACTTGACAACTTGTAATTTTTTTTTTACAGAACGGACTTATACTTCCGATCAGTCGATTGGTTAAAAAAACTGACCAAAAATATATATATGAGTCCTTCGTGTGGAAATAAATACATATTAAAACGTTAGCGGGAAATTCAAATACATTTAACAAACTTATACATTTGCGTCAATAATTTGCTAACAGTAGATTTCAACCAATCAGCATAAAGATCTAACATCCGGTGTGGAGTACACAGCGCATACTATTTTATTAGGTTTACATCGTCACCAGCTAACATTGTGTACAGTGAGGAATCGGCATAAAATGTGTTGTTTTACTAAAAAACGTCTCTGTAGTTTGAAAATAGATGAAACCTAATAATTTTTTAAACGTATCAATGTCCACAACACAGCTACATTACATCACATTGCGCTCGCTCTAGGGCGCGTGCAGTGTCGATTTCATATTACATATAACAACATGTAGGCCTAAACTAATTTCCCGTTTCCCCTGACACGCCCGTTATTAACAGACTGTTTCTCAAATCTCTCCGGTTATATTGATAAATTTGTAGGTGGTGAAAGAAAAGAATACAGTAGTTTGAAACTTCTAAATGTGGAAAGGTTCGGACGTAAAGGAATAAAGGAGATGCACGTGCTTTTGTCACGTGATATGACTACATTGGAATACTTGGATACTTGCCGTGTACACATATCCGTACTAACCACGATAACGCGTATGATACATGCACATCCGGTATACACAAACCATATCTATGACATGTTACACATCATTGTGATGTATACACATTGTTTGATGACGTAAATGAACACTGGATATGACTCATGTTACCTGGGAGAGCGAGAGCCTTTCTTGTCTTGTAATGTATCGTGTTCGTCCGTTGTCCGGGGCATGCCTTACAGGAGAGGGGTAGCTGAATCTTACTGGTCGGAGAAATTCCAGGAGGATCTAAAAATAGAAATACAAACTATATAAATCATCTTTTGTAATATACTTATGGTGATACGTGAACCGAACGAGAACTTGAAATGCACGTGCATTTCAATTTTGTTTTCAAAGCAGTGACAATCAGTACAGAGAATAGGATATTAGTTGTATATAGTTGTATGTGTTTTGTATCAACTGATTTCTTATTTAGAGAGGTTAATTTCTGGCTTTTGAAACTAAGCAGCTCGTAAGAAAACCACCCGAATCTCTCGTGACTCACTATGATAATGTCAGTTATTATTCACGAACACCGCGATGCTATCAACCAGTACGGTATCCGGAAACCTTTGTTGAAAACAATTCCCTGGATGTTGACCTGCCGTTATTCTTCGAGCAATAGAATTAAATACAACTGTTTTAGTTGCTTTTAAGGTCGTGATGTTGGTTGGATAACACAGAAGTTCCTTGAAATACGTCAGGTAGAGGAACAACATCTGAACGAAATCCCCGGTGTCCGCACTTATACAGAGGAGCCCTGTTGATATGATTACACGCTGACTTGTTTTTGAGACTAGATTCTTTATGGTTTGTTGAGGGTTACTATATATAAATGTATATTATCATACTTATATTTACGTCGTTCTAAACGGTTTCTAGGCTATAGTAGCATTGGCCTTGAAAAGCCGTCTCGCCCATACCGTGTCGTTGACTCCGCAGCCTGCTGGGGGAGTTTAACCATCGTGTGGGTGAAGTCAGCAATGTTATTCATCAGCACATAAAAACATTCTTATTTTTTATTTCTCTATGAATGTATTACTATCTTCCATACTCTTCGTTCACGGAGTACAGCAAACACTCTTTAACTAGTAGTATATATTTTCAATGTAGAAAACGAAGGAGTTACGCATCATTCCCTTCCGCTAGACGTATCTATTAAAAACGACATATGTTGGTAAAGCATCTTTCACAAAAAGCAGGAGAAAATTACAAAAAACTGTCACTGCCACATCCGGTTGTATACAGAGCCTCCAATCCAGAAACAAATTATGCTAGTCTCCGCAACACCAACAAGGCATACACACGACTGACGTACAAAATGTCCTTATAGCTCAAATGGCGTGACATCCTTGTAAAACTTATCATAAGTTTAACATCTCTGAGTATCCATTTTATTTTAAAGATGATCTACTACCATTTACGCTGACAGATCCGAAGACAATTAACTGCTTTATCAAACACGTGCATGTACGTGTAATTGAAACCGAACGAGGCATAGACTGCCCCAGGGAATGTTCAAACATGTGTGATAGATTGATGATAAAATTCTCCCACTAGGATCCTGTTGGTGGATTTTATTTCATTCATGTATGTAAACACGTGTACTGGGAATCATGAAAAGTACATATATATCATGTTTGTGCACGTACATCGTTGTTACGTAGCTATGAATTGTTTTATCATTTTTGTTCAGACGGGGGTTTGTATGATCTCATGTAGGAGTCATGGTTTGAGTGTGGTTTTGTATGAATGTTTCAGATCCTGTGTAGTTAGAGTCTGCACAAATACCACCGTTCGGGTTTTGTCTGAACAAAATACTTTACGTCTAGCATGAATACATTTGATGTATGAAGGCTGAGTTGTTAAAACAAAAGATCTGCGTCTACATAGCATTCACCATATACATTACCTTTCTGGGATTTTAAAAGTACATTAATTTATTATATTGACCGGTGCTGATGTCTGTAGACCTTTTAATTTTTCTACCTTTACAATTCTATTTTCAAACAAACGTTTTAAATTCGGGAGGACGTCTATTTTACATTCTTTTGATGCATTTGTCGTCCTGTATAACTTCAGATGAAGGTCCAAAGTGAGTGCTTCAATCCAAACTTGGAGCGATAGGTGTTACTCAGGAAACAGAGGAGAAAAAAAAATTCCAGAAAATATATATCGAGATGGTGCTTATCATACGCTATTTCACGTAAAATATTCTGTTACATATGACACAAATAAACAGTAATGTACCCGAAAATTTACCGAAATGAATGATAGAAATCATGTTTTGTGGTTCGGCACAAGTCATTTGCGAGGCATTAAGATCACCGAAAATGCTACCGAAAAATTCTAGGTACATGTACTATTTTAAACATTCTTGATACAGACTATATATGTACTAAACATATTCCTTTGACCAGTTTGCTGGACAATTTAATAATTTGATTGTTAAGCAGAGATATAAAAATAAAAACCAACGAGCCTAGATTCGTTTTAGGACTGTTTTAGCATGATTCTCGATTATATCTTAATATTTTTTTAAAATGTCGGATTCGGAATAATTTTTCATGACATTTTTCACTATACGCTTACATGCCAAATTAAACTGCGATGCATTTTCCGATAATTACCCATGATGATAGTGTCATAATGAAAAAGAAGTTTGTGAAATGTCGAGAACAGTTTTTTGATACGAAAGTAAACACAAACTTCGTTAGACAGTTAGTTTCGTATCGGTTACTTGGACACCATCATATAACTTTAACAAAAAATGAAACTGAACGAACACATGACACCACAATGCTGAATACCATGTAGCTGATGACAAACATAATTCTTCCATATCACTGCCGACTTCAGTACACTAGATACGAAACTAAACACATACATTGTACGGCTACAAATAGTATTGTACTCAGTTCGAAACTAAACAAACCTGGACTTGCCACAAGTAATCAGAATCAGTTTGAGAGCAGCCATTGCATTTTTTCTTTCGCCTTTGCCAAAATGATGGCAGCCCATTACGCACGCTGTCAGCTTAAAAACTGTCTTTTTAATAGCCGCTGGTGAATCTTTCCGTACAGCAACTTGCCCAAGTACCATGAGTCAGCGTTTTATAGTCGTTATCAGGCAATGTTTCCAATATATGTTAACGTTCGTGAGATAAGAAATTACACAGATAAAACCTGTGTTCCAGATTAAACCCTCGATAACAGGACACCTAGTCCAACAGCATCAACAGCATCACCATCGTAATGTTCGCCAAAACAGAGAGATAAGTTTTGAAATTAAGGACGAACATTCGCAAATTAGTGTGATGTATATTTGTAACATTCACTCAAAAGCAATGTTGTAGATTTTTCTTTAATTCGTTGGGGATTTAATATCTTTGTAACTATAAATGCAATCTAAAGATGTAGTCAGTGAAAGACGTACATACCTATTATGTATTAAATGTCCTAACGGTACACACCTAGACATAATAAAATAATGTGCTAATGACGGTTTACACCTGAAGTTCAACGGAGAGCAACATTGTCAGATTTTATTAACTTTCGTACGTGTACAAGCAAATACTGTACAAAACCTCGTCACAAGTGACACCACAAGTGATATACAGGTGTCATATCTCGATTTGATGTCATATTTGTCATGAAGGCTGACGGAAGGGCTAGCTATCACTGATGGACTTGGTTTTTATAAGGATTTATCCCCTCAGTTGTCTCGTTGACCAATCTACTTATCGTCGACGTTTACTTAATTTAAAATTACCATTGTTATCATTAAGGAAACATATCACAATACTATTATTAAGATATCAGTCAAGGGGTTGTTAAATATTATACAAGTATGTCAGTTCGTTTCGATCGATAAGATGATTTATGTTACGGAGCCAATATCGACAAAGGTGGTTCAATTACATTTCTGTATCAAATTAATGGCACATAGTGCTCAGGATATGATACCATGTCATTGAAATTGCTCCTTGTGCAGGATATTCATCGCAGCACCATCAATACCGCATTTTTGACAAAACATTGCAGTACACTTTCGCGCGGCCTGACGGACAAATCTGATTGGCTGAAATTACGTTGCGTCAAAGAACACTCTCACGAGCGTGCAATATAGCGTTTTAACACTGTGGAGGATGTGCAATTCAATGTTAAATGGAATAACATGTGATCTGGTGTAATCCAATCAGCATTTGATACCAAACTGAAAATGAAATAAAACAATTTATCATATTAGCAGCCTGTTATCCTGTGATTTAGCCCATGCAAAATGCACCAGTGTTATGTGCTATGGAGCGTTTTTGATTGGCTGCACCAGTCGCAATTCGATTGTGATTGCACGGCAAAATGACTCCCTTCGTTTGATTTTGACTACACGTTTGAACTATATAAACTTGTCAATAAGTTACTTTTATGGCTTATGCGATGAAAAAAATATCTTAATTTTTTTTTTATTTCATCGATACAAGGGTTTCAAAAACACGAATACTTAGTTATTGTTGAGATAAAGTAAATAACAACTTTTCTACTCTTTTTTAAGTAATCTCATTTTTTGTCCAATGTATCGATGTAAATACACATGAAATGTCATATCATATTATTACACAAAATCAGTATTCTCAAATTTCTATAGTTTTAAGTAATAGTTCTGTTGTGTTTGTACATCCTTTCTAGCTTAACATTGACTTTCTCGATTTTCATTTAAGTTGAACTTACAAGCTATACTACGCTGACTTCTGCTCAGTTTGAAACTTTTTGGATATAACTTGTTTGTGGTATATAAAACAAGTGTGTAATTGCAAAACAGACATATTGGTTAGACGGAGATAAGATATAAGTATGGGACTAATATTATATATATATATTGTGCTTCACTGTTCACTTATTGTTCAGTTGTGTTCATTTTCAAACTTTATTTACATCATATCAAATTTTCTTTAAAGGTAAGCTATATGTAAATTCAGTACTGAGGAAAATCAAAAAATTATTAAAGCTTCTGGACGGATTTTTAAATTACATTAAATTATTGTATTCATACTTATATCGTTACAAACCTTGATCTGTTTGTCTACTGTATAGCACTGATACAAGTTAGTGATTGGATGGACAATTTGTCTGCTGACCTCTATTAAAAAAGGACTTAAAAAATGCATATAGTAATTAATCTTTTAAATTACAATTTATCTCAAAGGATTTAATCTTATTTACATACTCCACCGTCAATTTACCCTCTAC